AACACAACTAAATAATCCCATAATCGTCTGATTAACTATGAATAACAGCCCATAAATATTTCTTTGTTTACTATTCTAGAGCCCTAACTTAATTTTATTTCCCCTAAACAGTTATATATAATGTACCCACATTATTTGTCCTTGTGTGTTTGTGTGTGTGAAATCTGCTCCTTTGGCTGTGCCAGCATCTCAAGAACAAAGGTCTCTGCTAGTTATACTTGCCCGGGTTTACCTGACCTGGGCCTTGATAAACTGGCTTCTCAGGGGAGCTTGTGAGAAATGCAAACAATTAGGGTCCAGGGCTAAGGAAAGCACCACAACCTATACTCTATCTTCCATTAGGTAATTTCATTTATTTTATTTTCTTTCATTTTTTAAAAATCATCTTATTGGTGGCTCATACAACACTTACCACAATACATACATGCACCCACGTGTCAAGCACACTTGTACATTTGTTGCCATCATCATTTTCAAAACTTTTTCTTTCTACTTGATACCTTGGTATAAGCTCCTCATTTTACCCCTACCTCCCCTACCTTCCCTCCCTTCCTGAACCCTTGATAATTTATAAATTTTTTTTTCATGTCATATACTGACGGATGTCTTCCTTCACCCACCTTTCTGTTGTCAGTCCCCCTGGGAGGACTGACATATATGTATGCCATTGTGATTGGTTCCCCCTTCTCCTCCCACCTCCCCCTCCCGGTATCTCTGCTCTCGTTGGTCCTGAGGAGTTTATCTATCCTGGATTCCCTGGGTTTCCAGCTCTTTTTTTTTTTTAAATCATTTTATTAGGGGCTCATACAACTCTTACAATCCATACACACATCAACTGTGTAAAGCACATTTGTATATTCATTGCCCTCATCATTCTCAAAACATTTGCTTTCCAGTTAAGCCCCTGGTATCAGCTCCTTATTTTATTCCCCTCCCTCCCCACTCCTCCCTCTTTCATGGACCCTTGATAATGTATAAATTATTATTTTGTCATATCTTGCACTGTCCAACGTCTCCCTTCATGCACTTTTCTGTTGTCCGTCCCCTAGGGAGGAGGTTAGATGTAGATCCTTGTAGTCAGTTCCCCATTTCTAACCCACCCTCCTTCCACCCTCCCGATATCCCCACTCTCACCACTTGTCCTGAAGGGATCATCCACCCTGTGTTTCCAGCTCTTATTTGTACATGCCCGTGTACATGCTCTGGTCTAGCCGGATTTGTAAGGAAGAATTGGGATCATGGTAGAAGTGGGGAGGAAGCATTAAAGAAATAGAGGAAAGTTGTATGTTTCATCAGTGCTGTACTACACTGACTGGGTTGTCTCTTCCTTGTGACCTTTCTGTAAGGGGATGTTCCATTATGTAATTTCTATGGTTTTCTGAGCCAACAGTGTGATTTAACTTTATAAATTAAGTATTAATGGAGTCTGCTTTTATTTATTAGAGCATTTAATCAAACTTAAGAGTTGACATACCAAGGCCATACCAGAAACCTGGCAAGGAAGGCGTCGGCATCCCTGCCCTCTCCTCTCTCTCCTCACAAGGAAGGCCCTAGCCATCCCAGAAACCATGTAAGAAAGGCCCTGGGCATCCCTGCCCCCTTGCAAGGTAGGGACCAGTTGCCTCCACATCCCTGGCAAGGAAGGCCTTCGCTGTCCTCCATCAACTAAGACCCAAGCTATTCCTGGGACTTGGTATATAGGCCCCAGCCACTCCTGCAACTCTGCAATAAAGGCCCTAGGCCTTCTCCACCCTACAGAAAGGAAAACCCCAGCTGTCCCTGGGACTCAGCAACAAAGGTTCCAGCTTCCCTGCTCTTCCAAGAAAGAAAGGCCCCAGCAACCTGGCAAGGAAGGCCCTGGCTATCTCCTGTTAACTGACGCCCCACCTATCCCCCCGGACCTGGCCTGGTGGACCCTGGTCACCCTTGCAACCTGACAAGGAAAGCCCCACCTGTCCCCGTCCCCAGGCAAGGATGGTCTAGTTGTCCCTGCCTTTCAGAAAGTAAGGACCAAGCCATCCTTGAAGTTAGGCTCTGGCTGCCCCCAAGACTCAGCAAGAAAGGTCTCAGCTGTCCCTGCTCCCAGGCAAAGAAGACCTAAAACATGCCCACCTCTCAGCATGAAAAGAAGGCCTGGGGGGGGGGGGGTCCCCATTCCCAGCAAGAAAAGCCCCAAGTGTCTCCAAGACCAGAAAGGATTTCCCGTTGGCCCAGCAAGAAGGGTTTGGCCATCCCCATCCTCAGTCAAGAAAAGCCCTAGTCATCCCAGAACCTGACAAGGGTCAACTGCCCTCACACAACCCACACTTACACCAGATTAATAGCTGTACCACGAAGCCCAGGAAACAGCAGTCCATCACAGCATGTGCACACACATACACACACACATCCTAAAAAAAATAAGAAGGCAGCCACAAAAAAACTGAGTAACAAACACCCAGGCCTAAAAGATTACCTGTGAATAAGGGGGCCTAGAAGTACAAGAAACAGAATTCAGGAGAATGATGTTTAGATACCTTCGGAGAATGAAGTGAAGAATTGAAAAACTAGAAACCCTAAACCAACAGAACTCCAGAAAAGAAACAATAAGACAACAGAATTGGACAACATGGTAAAAGAGCTGAGTAATGAAACAGAAGAAAATTAAAACCGTGACAGTCAGCTCGAAGACACTTCTCTCAAATACAATCAACAACAACACCAAAGGAATCTGAGGAAAGCCTATGAATGACGTGGGAGACCACAAAGCGGAACAACCTACATCTCCTTGGAATCGAGAAGCAAAAAGAAATAAAAAAATTTAAAGAGAAAATAGAACATGAAATCATGGAAGGAAACTATCCAGAAATCATGAAGGAAGAGAAAGTAATTATATAAGAAGCTGAGAGAACCCCAAACAGGGCAGACCCTTGAAAGAAAAATATCGTGACATATCACAGTTAAATTCTCCAGTATCAAGGAAAAGGAGAGACTCCTGCGAGCAGTTAAGTGAAAAAAGACCAGTCACCTCAAAAGGAAATGCAGTCAATAAGCTTAGATTTCTCAGCAGAAATCACATAAGCAAGAAGATAATGGAGTGACACATATAAAATCCTGAAATAAGAGGAATTGTTAACTAAAAATCCTAAAAAAAATCCCATATCCAGCAAAATCCTTTCACAAATATGAAGGAGAAATTAAGAATATTTCCAGAGAAGGGAAAAATTAAGCTACAAAAAGAACTAACAGGGACACTTTGGAAAGAGAATCAACAACAGGAGCAGACAAACCTGAGAGCAACATACAAGCCAACAATGCCCAGAAACCAATACAATGAAAACAGTATGCAAAATAACACAGAAATAGAAGACGAACAAGTAAATGAATAAAGCCACAAAATAAAAAAACAGCAAAGTGACAGTACAAACTTGCATAAATTAATAACCACACTGAATGACAGCGGATGGAATAAAGGCACCAGCCTAGACACAGAGAGCAGCAGACTGAATCAGAAAACAAGACCTATCGATTATGTTGCCTTCAAGATACATATCTTAAATACAAAGACAAAAACAGAGTACAAATCAAATGAGAGAGGAGCATTTACCAAGCCAATCGCGGCCGAAAACAAAAACGGGAATGACAATCTTAATTAATCTCTGATAAAACAGACTTTAAGGCAAAACACACGAGAGACAAAAACTACCACCTCACAATGACAGGAATAATAAAACTAAAGATATAAACATATTAGACATATACAGTCTAACGGGAAAAAACCCTCAAAATACATTCATCAAATGCTCACAGAGTTGAAGAGAGAAACGGACAGCTCAGCAATACTAGGAGACCAATCTCAAGGAAAGACCGGCCATCAGAAGGAACATCAATAAAGGCACAGAAGAACTCAACTACACAACCAACCAACTAACTTCCAGGCAAATACTGAACACTCCAGCCAACAAGAGTGCACACCTTTCTCCAGCACACCCTGACCACTCGCCAGCGTAGATCACAAGTTAAGCCACAAAGTAAGTCTTAATGGACTTGCTTTAAGACCTAAGTCTTAATGGACCTAAGCAATATAATATTAAGTAAATATTACCAATAAATAAACAAAACACAGTACTACTGTGTTAAGCTGGGTTGTTTTGCGGTAAGTTAAGTATGTTTAAAATAGAACTTGTATATATATTTTGTTCATATGTTGATTTTTGAAGCAAAACAACCAAAGTAGAAATGTTCAAGCACTGTAAAGGATGTAACCAATGTCACTGAACAACTTGGATAGAAATTGATATGTAAATTTTCATTGACAATATAATGAGTGATGATAAAGTATTAATTTTTAACCTAACTGCATCTATAATAATTTGATTTCCACTGAATTCTACATGATAGCATGGCTATAGACATCCTTGGTCTATGGTCAGAGAGGACTCAGCAGAGGCTTAATCATGTGTGGATCCTGCAAATGGATCTTGGGCTTCCACTGTCACCCATAGCCTTCTGCAAACCAGCTACCCACAACTTAAGTTCTGATACTATTCCTCCTCCTTCATATTTGGATTTTATTCAGTTAAGGTTTTTCTCTGTTTAACTTTAGTATCTTATTTTATTTTTGGGGTATGTTTTTCTGAACATGAAATCCAGGAGAGGTGAAGTTAGAGAGGCAGTGACTACATTGATGGTTTCTTGGGGGGTATGGCAAGGGATGTTGTGGGAACACGGGGAGCAGATAACTGACAGTGTAGGAAAGAAGAAAATGTTCTAAAATTGATTCTGGTGATGACTGTACACTCTTTAATAAGATTAAACTATTGAACAGTATGTTATGTGAGCCATATGCCAATAAAACTATGTACAAAAAAGCACAATGAGATACTATTTTTCCAATGTATTTATACGAAGCCTGGCCCCTTGGCTCACTTTAATACTCTGAATCATCTTAATAAATACATGATTATTATTTTCCATGATTTTCCAACTGCCAATTGGAATAAGACAGGATATTTACTCACACTTGGAATAGTTGATGACTTTTTTCTTTCTGGCCCTACAAGAGGACTTGTAGTCATCTCACTTTTGGATCCAACTGTCGTGCTGCCAAGTTTACGAGCTACATCTTTGTCCCATTCCTCTTTCTGTTCGCTTTCCACACTGTTTGCCTGCGGCCTTTTGGTATAGGATACGGCAGGAGGAATGGATGGGCCCGCTATAATGAAATGGAGGACAAGTTAGCTGAAAAACAACCAGCGTATTTCTCACAAACAAACATGCTGCATTAGAAATATCTGTATTTGCATATTTTACACTATGCACCAAGTGTAAACTCTTTGATTACTAAAATTAAGTCAGCTCCTGTAAAGAGCGCTTACGCTTATCATCCAACGACATCAATCTGTAACAGATGGGATGGGGCACAGTTATAGGAACACTCAGAGATCGTAATCAGTAATACTTTAAAAACTCCTGTTTGGGGGAACCAGTCTGTCATTCACAGATTTGAATTTTCTCCCCACCGTGATCGCTAAAACGACGTTGCTTCTGGTTTGCTGATATGCTTCGCTGGACCTTCAGGTGAGCGGGGGACTGAAGGGTGCTGTTATTTAAGTCGCTGCTGGGCCGCGACCTCTGACACAGGTTTCCGCTGGATAAAGACTCACCTCCTTCAAACTGTAAGACAGATAGACAGACCACCCATATTTTAAAACACACAATAAATGATAATGTACTTAACATTCAATCTTGATTTTCTAATCTACTGAAAGCTATAGAAGTAATACTCAGAACTATAAAAACAAAACACAATTGGGATACAAACTTCACACTGACAGCAGGAAGGGACCTGGATATGCCATAATTTGGTGTTATCTTGTGCAGATGGCACAAGATTTCATTTAGTCAAAACACCAAATCACAGCTACTATTTACTGGATGCTTACTATAGTAGGCACCAGGCTAAGTTCTTTCCATATGTTACTTTGCTAACTCATTTTATTGGACCTCTAGTATATTAACCTGTAATAGATAGATGGAAAACTCAAGGTAAGAGAGTCAGCAACATTGGTGGGCTTCACACTCTGGCATAGTTGAGAATCAAGCTTAGGATAAAAGCTTAGAGTAAACTTTTAATGATGCGTGTATTTATTTTCTCCTGGTGGCATAGTGAATTACACATTGGGTTGTTCACTGCAAGGTCAGCAGTTCAACTCCATCATCCGCTCCATGGGAGAAAGATGAGGCTTTCTGTTCCTATTAAACTAACAACCAACCATAAAAAAACCCTGGTAATCTCAGAAACCCACAGGGGCAGTTCTACCCTTTCCTATAGAGTTGCTAAGAGGCAGCATTGACTTGATGGCAGTGAGTTTGATTTTTTTTTGGTTTATATTTATAAAATAAAGTTTGGATTACAGGCTCTGATCATTAAATTGCATTAGTTTACAACTAAGTGTGGTAGAATGGGAGGCTGCTGGTACACTGTTCTGCTCTTTCTATAACCCCAAAGTACTTTGTAACCTGAAAACTTTTGACTAAATCATCAGCATCTCAATGGAAGATGTAAATAATGAATAAACCTATGGACGGCAAGGCAATTCAGACTCCTTGTGATCCTATAGGATTTATAGTCAGTTCTACAGAACTGCCTCTAAGGCTATAAATCTTTTTGGAAGCAGACTGTGATACCTTTTTTCTTTGAAGAGCAGCTGGTGGGTTCAAACTGCTAACCTTTTGGTTGGCAAATGAGTGCTTAATCACTGTGCCAGCAAGGTTCCTTAGAAATTCCTACATAAGTGATACTAAGGATATATGACAGAGTATGCTGATATTGGTAATAAACTATAGCAAGCACAAAGCATATGGAAATGGGTCAGGTATCGTTCTAAGGGTTTTAGAGGTATTATTTCACTTAATCTTCTCCAAGATACTTCTGTGAGCTAGATATTACTGTTATCCTCTTAGATAAGGTAATTGAGGGAAAGACAAGTTATATAAGTTCCTAAGTAGCATAGTTATTGACAGCACTGGTTTGGGGGATATAAACAAAGTTAGTTTGTCTCCAAAGCTCAGGCTTTTAACTGTATGTATGTATGTATGTATATGTGTGTGTGTGTGTGTGTGTGTGTAATTAAAAACCAAACTCACTGCCATCAAGTCGATTATGATTCGTTATATATATTATACACACACATAACATACAATAAGGCCTCATAGTTTATATTCCATACAATACACATTTTCTAATAGTTCATGTGCACACTAGGCATGAACTATAATATACTTGCAACCATTGCTTCCTTCCGATTTTAGAACTAGCCATTTGCATTATTTCCTGCTTATTAAAATTCTCTTAGCTCCTTCAACATCATTTCTTAGACTATTAATGTGTCCATTGAATATTTTTCTCCGTACTACCATGCTAGCACTATGCCTCTCATGGGAACAATGGGAGGTTAAATGAATCAATGTATGTACAGTCCTTAGATCAGTTCCTGGTCCATTCAAAAGCATGTGCTCCTCTGAGTGTGATTCTCAAATATTTTTCTTTTCTTTTGACTCTCAAATCTTAATCTGATCGAAATCTCACTTCAAACCCAGAGCCTTTTATCCAAAGGTCTACCATACAGTTCCATCCAACACGGATCTCACAGTCAACCATCCCAAATGGAATTTGCCACTTTCCACCTTTCCTATCTTGGTAAACAGACCTTACGCAACCAGATTATCTACCTAAAAAATCTGACAGTCCCTTATCCCTCATTTCTAACAGGGCCCATCATACTGTTGTACCTTTTACCTGTCACTAAGGTCCATCTTTACCCTTGACCTTGATTCGTGTGAGTGTCCCCATTTATGAGCACTCACAGCTCCCTGCCCAATCACCTAATCAGAGAATGCATCACCTGGACTACACAGTTGGGTGTCTATCTTTCTTCTAGACTAAGGGCTTCCTCAAAGGCAGAGACTTCCTCATCTTTCTTTTCACATTGCTTAGAGCACTGCTCTGAGCACACCATAAAACCAAAGGCAGGCATAAAGGCATTGCCGTGGGGTAGGCTGGGATTCTTATGACTCTTGGAGGCCCCCCGTGTGTCAGAGTAAATGCCACAGGCTTTCCTGCAGCTCGACTTGTGACAGTTCACTAGGCCCTTTCCCAAGGTGCCTCTGGGTAGACCCAAACCTTCAGTCTTTTAGTTATCAGTTAAGCACATACTGTACATATTTGTGTATAAGCTGACTTTTTAAGCACATTTTTAATGCAGTTTTGTGGTAAAATTAAGTGTCCCGGCTGATATTTGGGTTGGCTTATACTCGAGTACATACGGTAAATGACCTGCACTACCCAGACACTCAAATATCAGCTCAATGCAATGCTTCACTAACAGTTACTATTTCATTAGAAATAATCTCAACTATAGATATCTGTTTGTCAAAAAATCACCAATGATTCTGGGCCCTGTTCTTGAATTCATATTTACATGTTATGTTTGTTTCCACAAGTGATCAGCTGTTTTGATAGTTCAATCACTGTTTGTACACATTTATGTCCCAAATCTTTATATGGATAATAGATCCTTATTATAGAACCTGGGAGCCCCTGAGTTGTGCAAACAGTTAATGCTTGGCTGCAAACATGAAAGAAAGGCCTGGAGATCTGCTTCTGAAAAAATCTTATCTTGACAGCCCTCTGGAGTAGAGCTACGCTGGCAGACATGGGGCTGTGATGAGTCACAATCAATGTGATGACACCTGGCTTGTTATAGATCCCTCTTACAGAGCTCTCTTCGCCCCAGAATTCTAAATCAGATCAATGCTCTACCAGATTAAAAAAAAATATCACCAAGCAACCTTTTCCTAGGTTCCCATCTTTATAAATCCCTTAAAAACGACACTTCGTTGTAAAGGCCGTCATTTTCTTATTTCAGGCACTCTCTTCTCTGCACACAGGGTAACCAGCCCTTTGACCGGGCTGCTGCATTTGAACAAGCTTTGCATTGCATAACCCTAGGGGATGCATTCTCCAGCACTAGGCTGTGAGTCTGGCAGGCTTGGAGCTAATAAGCAAGGCAAGAGTTTTCATAAGAAAATTAATGTTATCATAATAAATCTAAACATCTTGTGATCTTATCTTTCTTTGTACCCAGAAGTGAAATCAGTTCATAATTTAGCTTCTTGATTAAAAACAAAAAAACAACAAAAAAACACTTTATAATGTGAATTAGATGAGGGTTTATATTTTAGATAGCTCCTTGATTTTTGAATTCCAATAAAAAATAAAGTTAGGGTATTTATGTTAATTCTGATACTGCAAAGATAGGACAGAACATATCTGCTAACAGTATAACTGCTACTGAGGAGCCAGTCAGCTCAATATAAAATTTACATTAATTTTAAAAGAAGAAGAACTTACTTCAGGTGGCTTTCTACCTAGAAGAATATAGGTAGCCATAACTTCATCATATTTTTGATTTATTAAGGCATCATTTATTTCATCTCGTGCAAAACCCATGGTGACCATGACATCTAGAAATAAAACAAACAAAACACAAACCTTGTCTGAAAATGGATTTTACTTGAGTTAAACAAATCCACAAAAATGGACATGCATGCCAACAGTAGCTTTGAAAACTACGTCCTGGAGATGTAATTTCAATTATAAAAACTTCTTTATCATTAGATATTCCATAGCAACAGATATTGCAAGTTAACAATGTCTCATACAGAGATTATCTGCATCATGTGGTCTGTACTCATGGGTCCAATTCCATTTTTCATTACTTAACATGTTCCTGAGCTTTCATTTGTCCAGCCAGGGCCACAGTCCATGATTATCTGCGACACACCCCAAAACACTCCCATGCACTCCTCTCTTCCTCTTAACTTGCCCTCAGCCACTCATGGAATGGCTTCTCTCCTTTGTTAATTTCTGATTTTCATCTTCACAAATTGATCCTTCTTTGGAAAACTTAAATCTCACAGTCATTTTTCTGATAATGTGTGTAACACCCTAAAATGTTCCTCCCCTTCCAATCTGCCCTCAAGCCAGATGGCACACTGCCAAGATGACTCGCAGTTGTGAGTTTCTGATGGCGGTGGGCAAGGTAGCCTAATGAAGAGAAGCAGACAGATGGCTAGATGTGAAGAGTGGAGAACTAGCAGAGTAAAGAGGGTGAGCACTATCAAGATAGTGGAAACAGAAAGGGAAGGCCATGTGTTTCCTACTTCCAACTTGGGATTTGTAAATTTTCGACTAAAATGTGTAACATTTTGCTGGTTTTTATATCAGTCATATCCTCCTGTGAGGGATCAGCAAGAGGAAAAGATGTCTACCCACAGTAGTCTACAATCCTCCCCACTGTTGTCAACAGTGGGATTAAATCATTATACATATGAGAATAAATTAAGGTATCTGAAATTTCTAATTTTTTAATACATACTCAGGAAAGGTATCAGTGCAAAAGGCTTCCTTATTTATATCCTTCAACATGACTGTGGCAGACTGAAGGTCTTTTCCGTGCAGTCTCGGGACAGTACCGCTCACACTATTTAAATACTTACCTATTCTTTTTGTGTCATTGAAGTCTGGTTCGGGTTCTGTATATGGCTTCAGTTCTTCTTCTTCATGACCAACATTCATCCAACGATCTTTCATTATTTGCTAGGAAACAAACTCTACATTATGTTTGGCCAATCAGAACATTCAATTGCTTCTTTTCTTTATTTAGTTTAGGAAATGTGGAATTTATTGGTTCACAGCACAAGAAATCATGTGATATTTTCTAAATGAAGTTACTGTTTTTAGTTTGATTTGCAGGCCAGTAAGATGCTGTGCCCTCTAGAGATGCTACAGCAGTTCTCTAACCAGGTGGGAACTGTAAGAACACTGCTGTGTTGGCTGGGAAAATTCTTCCCAAAATATCGAACACATAGTATGCATTTTAAATAATGCAGCACCAAGTTCTGACTATTCACCAATGTTAGGAAAGTATTGGGAAAGGTGCACAACAAGAAAAAAGGGGGGGAAATGACAAAGCAGACTTGCAATATGATTTTCCTAAAATTACTGTTCTTTTTTTTTTCTTTTAATCATTTTATTGGGGGCTAGTACAACTCTTATCACAATCCATTCATCCATCCATTGTGTCAAGCACATTTGTACATTTGTTGCCATCATTAATCTCAAAACATTTTCTTTCTACTTGAGTCCTTGGTATCAGCTCCATTTCCCCCCCTCCCTTCCCACTCCCCTCCCTCCTTCACGAACCCTTGATAATTTTTATATTATTATTTTGTCATGTCTAACAGTGTCCAATGTCTCCTTTCACCCACTTTTCCGTTGTCCATCCCCCAGGGAGGGGGTTATATGTAGATCATTGTGATCAGTACCCCCTATCTCCCCCACCTTCCCTTTACCCTCCTGGCATTGCTACTCTCATTATTGGTCCTGAGGAGTTTATCTGTCCTGGATTACCTGTGTTTCCACCGCTTACTTGTACCAGTGTACATCCTCTGGTCTAGCCGGATTTGTAAGGTAGAATTGGGATCATGATAGTGGGGGGGAGGAAGCACTAAAGAACTAGAGGAAAGTTGTATGTTTCATCAGTGCTATACTGCACCCTGACTGGCTCATCTCCTCCTTGCAACCCTTCTGTATGGGGTTGTCCAGTTGCCTACAGATGGGCTTTGGGTCTCTACTCCTCACTCCCCCTCATTCACAATATGATTTTTGTTCTTCGATGCCTGATACCGGATCCTATCGACACCTCGTGATCACACAGGTTGGTGTGTTTCTTCCATGTGGACTTTGTTGCTTCTCAACTAGATGGCTGCTTGTTCGTTTTCAAGCCTTTAAAACCCTAGATGCTATATCTTTTGATAGCTGGGCACCATCAGTTTTCTTCACCACATTCAGCGATCATGTTGGGAAGGTGAGCATCATGGAATGCAAGTTTAATAAAACAAAGTGTTCTTGCATTGAGGGAGTACTTGAGTAGAAGTCCAATGTCCATCTGCTACCATAATACTAAACCTATGAATATATGGACATAGATCTATTTCCCCATCGTCATATATAAATATATTTACATATGTACATGCCTGTATTTAGACCTCTATAGATGCCCTTTGCCTCCTAGTTTTTCCCCCTATTTCCTTTTACTTTTCTCCCTTTATGTTCCCCATCAAAGATTATATCTGGCAGAAGCCTATTCATAGGTCAGGCACCAGAATTTGCATTAGTAAATTCTAAATTGGCCAGCAAAATGAATATATCAGAATTCTCAGAGAATATAATGAACCTCAGGGACAGTTAAGCAGTCCACACAGGCCCTCTCTTACCTGTTCCACTCTAATCCAGCCCACTTATTTGCTGACACCTTTCTTTATTCTCTGGTCCAGTGAATCAGGCTAATATGGAGCTAGTAGCCAAGTTAATTTAAAATGGAAGCCTTTAAATATATATAAATACTCTAACAATAACTGCCATCACACACACACCAATACAAAGGAATTCAATTAGCCTTTAATCATCACCTATAAACATTCTTTTTTAAAAAAAATCATTTTATTAGGGGCTCATACAACTCTTATCACAATCCATACACACATCAATTGTGTAACGCGCAGAATAATTCACTTCAGAGGACAGCACTGAAGCTACAGCTCAGGGACAGGGACATATCTGATCAGAGCACACAAGAGCAAATGAGGGGACAGGGAGAGAGAGTGGAGTACATTCTGGGCCACCAAGCCCAGAGGATGATATTCCTGCGCAGAGCAGCCAATGCAGAGAGGATCATAGAGCCAGCCAGCCCCACCACTAGACAACGTCCCTCACTGACCCACAGCACTACAGTGGACAACACTGGAGACACAGTGAGGGAATTGTGCCCCATCTGACCCCACCACACAGAGGT